TGCCCAGCCAATGCAGAAGGCAAGTCCTCAAAGGCAAAGAAACAACAAGCAGAGACCCGGGAAGAGAGGCAGGAGTAAGCAGGCTCAGAGAAGGCTGACCCATTCAAACAGGTGGCGGAACGAAGCCCGTTCCCCAGTGCAGGACCGAGCAAGTCACCGAAGTCACTTGAGAAGCAAAATAGCACAATGTGCAGTCCTTAGAGCTGGCACATCTGGGTTCCAACCCTCCTTCTCTCCCTGACTAGCTCTGTAAACCCCTCCGAGTCATCAGATTCCACATTTGTAGCATGGAAGCAGCAGCATCTTCCCAACAAGACTGTTGCAAATTGAGAATGAACTAATACGCACTTAAAGGCACTTGGAAGATTTTCTGGATAACAATGCCCACGTGTCCACCTGGGAAACGATGAAGTGATCCACACAAATGCAGTACCAGAGAAAATAACTGAACAACCCTGGAATTCCTCTACTGCACACGGAGGGGCCCTGGCTATTGTGTGAACAATCCAAGTTGGATCTCCGAGCAAACGGAGAATGTCAACGTCAGACCAATTTAATTTTCTTTCTTTGAAGAACACTGGACCGTGCGGATGGAAGGAGAATGAAAGATGGGAGGCAGCTGAGGCAGCCGGGCTTTCGGTCTGCCTCCTAGACGTTCCCATCACCAGGCTGAAGAAATTGCTCAGGACAGCGTGTCCCCCAGACAGCGTTTCACAGAAAGTTATTATGTGTTGCACAGAGAATGAAGTTTGGGAAACACTGGGTGAAACAGGTGACTAGACTACAGGACTCTCCGATTTTTAAAATAAAGTAACATGACTAAGAGTTAGCAGAGTGGACAGCATCTTTCAAATTTTCTTGGCCACAAAAATTTTTTAAGGGTCCGAGAACACAATTTGGAAAGCAGAGGTATAGGTGAGGAAGAGGTAATGTGATATTATCTTTCCTAGAGGGATATTTCCTAAAGGTGGATTATTAAGCTTTTAGCACTGATATGTAGAAAAATACTGTGTGTAATAACACACAGGAATCAGAATTGAAAGAGGTGCTACTTCATACTTTTACCTGTGAGATGAACAATGAGACCCAAGAGAGTCGTGGCTAAGCATGAAGCTGGCTGGAGTGGCTATATAGTTGTAAGACAGAAGTAACATTCACAAGACATTCATGATAGAATTCACTCAGAAACAGCGTCAAGAAACAGGAAAAAGATGTCTCACAGACAAAACATAATCTCTACATATTTTGAAAAGACATAAGGTAAAGATTGAGATACACAGGTATATGGCTTTAAAGACCAAGAGTCGAAGACTCGCTGGGTTTTGAATAAAAAGCGCAATGAATACAAATGTCATTGCAAGAGTGAGTCCTGCTTCTGCAGAGTTTACTGCAGGGAAACGCACAGGGAACTGGGATGTGCCTCACAGACTGGGGTGATGGGGTGGCTTGGTTTAGAGTGACGGGGCTCTGAACGCTTCTCTCCTGGCCCTGCGTGCCCCCGACGGAAGTGGCCTTGGAGCTGCTGGGGAATTCAGGACTTCCCAAGCTATAGAATTCTCAGGGAGGTCCCAGCTTAGGGTCCTCCTGGGTAAAGGGTTGAGGGTCTTTAAAGAGAAATCTTATCATTTCCTGGTTGAACAAAGCCTCCTTAGTTATTTTGCTAAGAGGAAGCAGGAACAGGGTCTTTCCATTCAAAACTTATCCTGACTGCTTGATATCATTCCGCTAACTCCAGGGGTGATCCAGGACGGGTGTCTTTTCTAAGCCACTGAGGAGTTGGGGTTGAGGGATCAGAGGCTGCAGCCACTTCTTTCTTACTTCTTAGATTTTCCATTTTTGAATTAGCGTATAGCATATCCTACGGGTCCTTCTTAAAGAACTGACTTGTAATGCACAGAATGGAGTCCTGTGTGTGTGTGTGTGTGTGTGTGTGCACACGAGCACATGTTTGCAAGTACAGGAGAAAAAGCCGATCCAAGTGAGAATCATAACAGTGTTACAAGTCCTGTCCTTCACTTAAATTTCCAAACTAAAAAATCAGGGGACTTCCTGGGCGAGCAACCAGGTAGGAGACACAAAAATCTCATCGCGTGATAAAAGGAGCTAACGATGTTGTCCTGGACAGGGAAAGAAATCAGGGTCGACATAGTTCTTTCCCTCCTTACACAGGAAGCGTGGTTGGAAGTCAAGAGACAGTCAATACTGATGTGAAGAAGTCAGACTTAGAGCTAAATCACAACTGTCATCCAATAAGAAACAGGTCTGCCTTATGAAAAGAATCCAAAAGATGAATTTATTTTGGAAGGAGTTATTTTGTGACAGGTGTTATGCCCACCGCATTGCATACATTAGCTTATTCAATTCTCTCAAAATGGCTGTGAGGTGAGAACGGCTATTATCCTCATGTTGCAGATGGCAACGCCGAGTGCTGGAGAGGTTAGTCCCCTTTTCTAAGGTCACACAGCCAGGGAATGGACGAGCCCAGGCACCAGACCCCCAAAGTGTTCACTCTCATTCTTGGACATTTTAAGGCACAGTCTGATATGCCAGAGCTTTGGTTTAATGCGCTCCTTTCATTGTAAGACTTATCTATTGCAAGACCAGACCACTATAGATAATCTCTACAGCTTTTAATCCAATTCCTGCCATATTGAGAATTAAAACATTGACTTGAATGTCCTTGGTCACTGTGTCCATCTGTCACCTTTCTATTTTTCTCTTTTTTAATCTTCACCCGAGGACCATTTTTTTTCTTTGCTTTTAGAGAGAGAGGAAGGGAGAGAGAAAAACATCAGTTGGTTTGCCTCTCATATGTGCCTGAACTGGGAATTGAACCCATAACCCAGCTTTGTGCCCTGGCCAGGAATAGAACCTTCAACCTCTTGGTTATGAGATCACACCCCAACCAACTGAGCCACACTGGCCAGTTCCTACTCAACAGTTATGGGGAAAAGTCTAACTGTCTAAACAAGGATGGTAAAAACTAAGGGACGGATGAACGACAGAATCCACAAGGCAAATGAAAGAGGCCGCATTCCTTTGACCAGGGAGTGAAGCGCATTCTACCAGAATCGGAAGATTAGGGGTATGCAAATCACTTCCATGGAGACTATAAGAAGAAATTCATTCCATTGACACAGCTTGGCTGGCACAAGGTTTTCCCAGGGCAGACATCTTAAAATTAATGAGACTTCGCAGTACGGTTACGGGTAGAAGAAGAGTGTCATGCTGGACAGGAAGTCGACAGAAGTGGCCCTGACTGGGTGGCTCAGTTGTCTGGAGCACCGCCCCGTACACAGAAAAGGTTCTGGGTCCGATCCCCAGTTGGGGCGTGTAAAAGAGGCAACCAACTGATGCTTCCCTCTCATATGGACGTTTCTCTCTCTCACACACACGTGCCTTGATATTTCTCTCTCTCTCTAAAATCAATAAACATATCCTCTGGTGAGGATTACAAAAGAAGCAGTCGAGAGCAGTCCACCTCAGCGGCCTGGCCAGTAACCCCGACACTGTGCCTGCCTGAGGACCAGCCGGATGCCAGCTGGCGCTGGTGAACCCCGCTTCCCTCTGTCCTGTCCCATGAGGACACTGAGAATGAACCGGGGGCCACCTCCAGGAAGGGAAACACTTAAACTCCATGTGACGACTGTGGCGATGGGGACCCCTAGGTGGCCGGCCACAGGGCAGCACGACAGATGACCTCGGGAGAGTCCTTCTGAATCCACAAGTTATGGCTGCAACAATTGAGAAAGCCCAGGAGGGTGTCTGTTAATAAAATCTTGAAAAGCCAACATTTCTGCTCGACAGAGCTGTATGTATTATTTTTAGGAGCTAGACTGTTGTTGTTTTTTTTTTAACCCAAAAAGGAACTGAATACCCTTAGAGGGAAGGGACTCTTTCTCTGCTTTATAGACGTTTTCCCACAGTTTCATGCCCCCACAACAGCTTGTTGCTCGGTTTGTGACTCTTACATTTAACTTGATAAGGTCCTGGTGCCCATGATACTGGTTGTTAAAAGTTTTGGTTTCTCTTTGCAGCTTCCGATGACATTTCCTGCCCGGTACGGGGCTGGTGGCTTTTCAAGTTTTCACGCTCTTTCTGTTTCTTCTCCCTTGGGTGGGTACATTCACAACCTCAGACCGTCTCTCCTTTTGAAAGAGGGCAACTCTCGGGCTTCTGCGAGTGGCTGATCGGCCCATCCACGGAACTGGGCAAATTGTCTGGAAGTAATGCCTTCTCTCCTTGAGCAGGTCCCAGCATGTTTCCCTGTGGAGGCTCGGGATTTTGGCGGGCACCCACCCATGGTGATGGGGCGGCGTGTCTCATGGTTCCTGTAAACACACAATGCTGCGCCCTCTTCACACGGACATAGTGTGGCCCCTCACGCCTACAGCCATGCTGTCTGTCTCAAGAAGGCCTCTGCCCCCAGGGTCCGGGCCTGCATGACTTCCCAAGCACTGGGGTTTAGGAAAAGCCCATTCTCTCACTGTTCAAAGTCCGGCTGCAACTCAGATCAGAGAGGGAAGCCTTTCCGGACAAAGCTTCTCTTGGGTCACCCAGGCTGAGAAATGGGATCGTGAACATTGAGAGACTTTCCAGAAGTTGTTAGTGGTTCACACTGAGTTACAGTTGGGGGTGTTGGACGTCTTTGTCATTTTAATAGGCAGCTCTTTTTGGGAAGGAGAGCAGGCGCCTGTTTCATCCAGTTAGACAAGAAATTTCTCCTGTAAGTTCCGTCATTTCCCAGGCAGCTGAAACAGCCGGGCTTCCTGTCTGCCTCCCAACCCATTTGCTGTGAACACAGAAGACGGAGTTTAATAGGTGACCCGAGTGCTAAAATGTGCTTAAAAGTGGTGAAATCGGGGCCGAGAGCTCAGACTGTGTTGAGGAGGAACAGGAGGACTGGCCAGAGGAGGCTGAGCCAAGGGCAGGTGAGACGGAGAGGAAGGAGCGGCCGGGCCTGCGCACTCGAGACACGGGGCCGGGGCGGGGTTACTCACAGGTGTTGGCGGTGCCCTTGGGGATGGGGAGGTAGGAGCCCGGGCTCCAAGGGCGGCCCTGATAGTTCTTCTTGCATTTGCCGCAGTCCGGGCCCGTCGTGTTGTGCTCACACTCACAGGTCAGCTTGCTGTTGTCGTACACGCACACGGTGGCATGGAGGTTGCACTTGCACCTGGGCAGGGACAGACAAGAGCGCGTGGTCAGTGGAGCGGGGCTCTACCCCCGAGTCTCCCGGGCCCGAGGGCTGCAGGGAGGCTCTGGGTAAAGGGGAGGTCGGCGGCCCCACCCTCGGAACCTTTCCAGCACCTGTCCCTGGGGATTGGGGTGGGTTCCCACGCAGCCTGTCCCCACAGCACACTCCGAGGAATCCTACCACCCGTGGGTCCATCCACTGGGGGCCTGAAAGCTCCCGTAAGACAATGGTGTTCCTGAATCGAGGGTTTCCCGGCAGGTATCCAAGATACAGCCACCACTGATGGGTTTCCTGTGATATAATCCTATCTACGGCCATTTCGGGTGGGCTGGAAGAACAGGGGTCAGTCCTGTGCTCCTTTAGACCAGAGGACAAGTCTTACTTGTTTAAAAAGAAAGAGAACCGTGAAGACAACTTGTTATTCAGAGTTATTTCATGGGCCCCCCAGGAGGTTACAATCAGCTGTTCTCATCCCTAAAACGAAAGCTTGGTCAGAAGCACTTTTTCCAGCAAGGTCTCTGACCAGCCGGAGCAGCCCTCAGGTCCCCCACACGTGGCAAATAAGGTCGTCACAAAGGTGCCTCAGAACGGGGTCACAGGGCTCAGATGAGAGGTGTTCAGGATCCTAGAGAACAGAAGCCTCCGAGAGGCAGTGGTTTGAGGTCATAGCCAAGGCCTGGCCTGTGGTGCCCACGCACAAAGCTGTGATATGTGAGTGGCAAGGACCGAACATGAAATTTCCACAGACATGCATCCCCGCATCGAGTCTGCAGCTGGAAAATTGCAAAGGCCTCCTCGGTATCTGTGGAGGTGCCAGGTTATGAACTGTAATATTCCCAGCACGGCCCTCCTCCTCCGGAGAAGGGAAACCTGGGCGGACAGAATGACTGTGGCTGGAGGGCAGAACAATGTGTGTGGGAAGAAATGTGTCACGCAAAGCAGAGCACCAGGACACCTGGGCCGGGGGCGGGGATCAAGGACCAAGCTCTGTCACAGCCAGAACACGAAAATGTTTCTCTGTGTGTGTGTGCGCATTTATAAACTAGTCTGGTCTCTTCCAGGATCTAGGACAAGAATGTGGAAAGCCAAGTTTCGCGAAGACAAAGAAATATGGTAGTGTTTTCCATTTGTTTTCTTTTGCAGCAGATGTTGGGAATTGGGGAAAGGAACAATACTCTTTCTTGGGGGAAAATAAGATTCTTGCACAACGGGTGTGGGTGTCTATAATGTCTGTATCGTAAGGTCCAGGTTTCTCTCTTGCGCACGGAGGATCCATTTGGAGCACCGGCCCAAAACTGTGGCCAAGAAGCAAAGGCATGGCTGAGGCTACTCCTGAGAGCTGCTGGCCTCTCTTCTACCTAAAAGGAGGAGCCCCCTAAGGCAAAGGGCACCCCCTCAACCCTCCCTGGGTAACATTGAGCCTCAGCTTCCTCTGAAGTCTGCTACGACCTGTGGTACTTGCAGCTGCCCCCTGCTCTCTCTGTCATTATAAATGGCAGTAGACCGAAAGGCTACTATTTCAACAATAACTTCTCAAGGTAGACACATCCACAGACCCTTTACACATGAACTTAACACAATCTTGTAAAAAGATGAGGGAAGAACCATTCAGTGGAGTGAAATGGAGTGTGGTTAATTATGAGGTAGGTCTGGCAACGGTCTTCTCTATGCAGGGAGTCCCTTGCGCTGAGCTGCCTACTTAAAAATGTGTTTCTTTCCAACACGAACACGCTTATTTATGGGTGTGTTTATATAGATAATGTTAGAAACCTAAGTGATCAAAGCACCCACAGTTACTGACTTAGCAGCCTCTGTGGTGCTAAGGTTCCAAACCAGGAGACAGACAGTGTGACTCTGAAGGATGTGTTGGCTTTGCGTGTGAAGACCATGAATGCAAGCAGTCATTGTAAATTGGCCTGTGTATCTTGGAACTGTTAATACTTTCATACTTGTAGTCACTCTCTGAGTTACAGGCAATTTCCACTCTAAGGACTTCATATTTGCTGAGAAAATATTCTTTGAAGAATGTTTAGTCTTATTTTTTCTCTGATTTCTTCCAGTTAATGGTTTGTCTTCACCTGCCCAGGCTTATTAATCATGGAAATCTCCACTCAACTGATAACCCTTCCCTGATGTCTCTTCTGCCTGCTACGGACACCCTGACCTCTACCCACCTGGTTTCCTTAAATGCTTCTTTCTGTATGCTTGGTTTGGTTGGTTTCTACCTAAGACTTTTGGTGCTTTTAAAATGTTTACTCATCGGCATGAATCTCTCTCTTCCATCTTAAGTGGGGGATGTATCTACCTTGTACCCTAGTCTTCTTTCCAGTTACTTCTCCCTTCTTGAGTTTCCTACACTTTCCATCTCTGTTTTCTCACCTTCTCACCTCCCACTTACTCACTCTTTCCAACTAACCACAGCTTTTCTGGCCAAGATCAACCACCACCTCTTTGTTGAAAACCCAATGGCTATTTTCTTTGCCTGCGTTGACCAATCAGAGGCCTCTGACTCTGCAGGCCACTCCCTTCCCCCTGACACTCCCCCTGCTGTACTCTTGACGTTATTTTCAGAACCCTGGTCCTCTGTACAATATCATCATGCGCCATCTTTGGGTTCTGACCCAGTGTGGGCAGCCTGAGTGACTTCCCTTGGGTCCTGTTCTCCAAGTTGTCCTTTCAACTTCCTCTGTGGCCCTTCACTGCCTTTGAGTTATGGCCAGTTTCAAGCAAATTGGCATCATGTTTTTGTTCCCAGAAAAAAAAATAAACGTATGCAAAAAATCTCCTTGAAAACAGGGATTCAGAGACTCCGTGTTACTCGTACAGATCCACGGGACTCTGTCCCTCCATTATCACCAGGTGAAGATGACCAGTGTGTCAAGAAATCTGAGGTCTCCATCACCGCCCTCCCTCCTGCCCATCTCCAGATTGACAGATCCGACCCTGACTTCTTTTCCACCTACTCCATCTTCTGCGAGTTCTGTCTCAGTAAAATGCATCCCTTCCAGTCAACCAGCCAACCACAGCTCCTTCCTCTCCTTTTCCTATCACATGTCATGTGTCACTGCTCAGCCTGTACCAGGTGCTGAGATTCTGCCCCTGGCAACTCTCACACACGCATCGTTCCGGCCACCACCACTTTGCTCATGGAGGGCTGAGGTCATCATCTCTGATCTGGTTCATCACCGTGGCTTCTAAGCAGAACTCACTGGCCCCAGGCATCATCAGCTCTGCCGCTCCTTCCACCCCCCAGTCTCAAACACAATAGCCAAAGCAATCGCGTACACACAAATATTTGGGTCACCCTGTTCTAGAACCACTGAAAGATATCCCATTGTTCTCAAAATGGAGTCCATGCTGTATAACATGGTTTACAAGTTCCTTAGAAACCTACGTCTCCTCCCAACAGGGTGCCTTTCCCTTGTGCTCCACGGACAGGGGCATGTCAACCACAGATGAAGGCCACACCATCTCTGCGACAGTCATGGGCTGCACTGTGACTGCTTATTCTCCCATCCACTTCCCAGGGTGTGAGGTCCTGGGATCAGCAGTCATAAAGGAAACAGTCTGCCTTATTTATTGAAACATCCCTAGCATGTGCTTGGCACATAATGAGTGCTCAAAATTTTTCGACGCCAAATGAATCACGAATAAACAAGGTAACTGCCAGAAATCAGGAACATCACGAGCCTGCTCTACCATGTGCATCAGTGGCAATGGCAATGGCGATGGACCGAACGTGGAGACTTCAGAGTCACTGCACTGAATCAGAGCCCGCACGACGTGTTGCCGAGAGTGACCTATGCCCTTGTCATTGGTTTCTATAACCAACCTTACAGTGGGCAGAAGGGACTCCATAAAGTTAGTGAGAGCTCGTAAACCCAGTTTCCCCCCTAAGAAGAGGTCTCTGTGGCCTTTGGTCCTCAGCTGGAACTTCACATTGGCTCTTGGGTCCAGGGTGGGCCTCCTGGTGGGGGTCCCTGGGCGGTACTTGGCCAGGGAGAGGGGACAAGTACGGCAGGGGTTGCCTGGTGGAGCCCCCCCCCCCCCTACTCAGAACCCATTGTCCTGCCTGGGCCTCAGTTTCGTCACTGGGCCCCGGGAGGGTCCTGGGGAAATGCAGTCCCTCATGGTGCCTAAAATGCTGGGGACCGTGGCCTGGCCCTCTCCCTGGGGGCTTTCTTCCCAGTACTCCCTCTGCCACCTCCACCCCATCCACCTGCAAATTACTTTTGTTTTGTTAAAACTGCCTGAGAGCCCTGGCTGGTGTAGCTCAGTGGATTGAGCGTGGGCCTGTGAACCAAACAATCGAGGTTCGATTCCCAGTCAGGGCACATGCCTGGGTTGCAGGCCAGTTCCCAGCAGGGGACACACGAGAGGCAACCATAGGTTGATATTTCTCTCCCTTTGTCTTTCCCTTTCCCTCTAAAGATAAATAAATAAAATCTTAAAAAAAAAAAACCCTGCCTGAGACATTAGTGGGTAAAGAAACCAAAACCTGATCAGCAGGTACAGAAGCAACCAGAAGCCACTTGGGGCCAGTTCCCCTTCTTGCACAGATTCCCCTCCACAGCTTGGCCAAAACCTGCTGGGGAATCTGCTACCCGGATGTGCCCTTGCAGGGACCCCACTCCACAGCAGCTGGGTTTGGCCTTCACAGACCCTCAGCTGGAAGCACTTGAACACATAGAAAAACAAGACGAAAACACAGGAAATCCCGAAATCCCAGATTGGGAGATGATGTTGGGAGACACCCCGCAAGGGAGGCCTCAGTAGCCTGCCTCCTCTTGTTAGTAGGGGGCGGTACTCTGGGGCCTTCCCTTGGCTTGCACAGTGGCCAGCTGACCCTGGAACTCCCTCGGCCACTGGGCCTTGTGGGCAGTACTTGGGGTCGTGTACCTTCCAGCCCAGGCCACAGACCTGGCCACTCTGGTTGGTGCCCCGAGTGCAGTCAACCTGCAGAAACGTGGAGGGGTTGT